CCTCTACCAACAATGCATGAGTTTGAAATCTTTAGTTTCATCTACATATCTAAGGCCAATGTACTTCTCCACTGACAGAAGGTGGTAGCTGCTGCTCAGCCCTCCTACCTTGACAGGGTGGAGATATCCATCCCCTCGGAGGGTGCCCAAGCCCTCTCCCGGTGACTCCTCTTCATCCTGCAGGCTGCGAGTGAGGTGCGCGATATAGGTGGTGGCCAGAAGGAGCACATCCAGCTTGGAGAGCTTGGTGTCGGGCGGCACCGAGGGGAGAGTCTTCTGCAGCTCGAGGAAGGCGTGGCGCAGGGTCTGGACCCGGCTGCGCTCCCGAGCGGCGTTGGCGGCCGCAGGTCGGCCCGGGGGTGCCCCAGCCCGCTGCCCACCCACCAAGGCAGGGCAGGAATTGCCGCCGGCAGCAGAAGGCAGCAGGGAATCGGGCTCTACGCCCGGGCTGGAGATCTCCTCGCTGCTGCCAGCTAAGTGTCCACAGTCCATTGGTGACTTCCCTGGCAGGGAGGGTCCTGCAAGCAACAAGAGCATCTCTAAGGGCAGCTGCTACAGTGCGCCGAAACTCTCTAAAAACAAAGATGATCAGAAATGCAAGCGCTGCCTGTGCCAGGAAAAGCTGGGATGCAGCTGTGCGAGCTGCTTTTCTACTGGCTGCTTTCAAATTTGATTTCACACAGGCAGAGAAACAGAAGTTAAACTCTTCAATGATTGGGATTTAATAATTTTTGTTTGAAAGTATTACACTGAGCAAATTTTTTGTTACTCCTAGCCCAGAAATGGCTTCTGAGAAAATCCAACAGGCAACGCTCAGCAGCACTGACACAGTGGTTTCCGTTTACAAATTACTAAAAATTAGGCTAAATGCAATTTTTAAAACATATTCTTCGTATGGTTTGGGATGTGGGACTATTTTTGTATTTTCTATTTAGCTGCAATTATTTTATCAACAGTCTCACAGGTGATCAGTGCTTCATGGATTAGAGAAAGAAAAATATCATTTTCAGATGCAGCAATAAGTGGAGCCACAGAGCGTGGACTCAGCTTTTGAAAGGCAAAATTTGGTCCATAATTTTAAAGGATCAGGAACTGACTTTTCCTGTCGTCCCACCCCTAATGTTACTAAAATAATTTCTGTGCTTGTTCTGTATCATCTACATTTTCGAATTTCAAAAGAATCTTTTAACCTCTATTATAGCCATTGGAGGGCAAGAGAACCTTTTGAAAACAATGACAAAAAACTTATTTTGAGCAAAGCTGAAAATAATGTCCACAAGGTCAGTCAGTTCTGCCTGTAATAAAACTCAAAATCTTTTAATTAGTTCAGTTCCTCGATCAATATTCCCCAAAGTGTAGCACTTCTTAGCTGGAATAATACCTGATCCTGTTGTCCTCAGTCAAGCAGCCCTCCTGGTAGTCCCAGATTTCAGCTTTCAGGTGTTTCTGTGACAGTCTGGCTAGACAAGGGCAAGGACAAGTTATTAAACCTTTTAATTTCATAAAAAACCTATGTAATATTAAAATTTTAAATAAAATTGGTGCACATAAATGACTGAAGATCTAAATTTACAAGAACTGGGTCTTGATTTTACAAAGCATTTCAAGCACACTCGGAAGTCAAAGATTTCTAGCAAAAACAAGGAAAGGTTTCTAAACAATCCTTTTTGCAATACTTTGATGGTATTTATAAGATATTATTATTGTTATTTTTTCAGATGTTCTATTGTGATTAATTTGATGTTAATCTGGTTCACAGTTTTATCATGTCATGGTCTCTTCAATATCAGTACAGGTTAGACTGAAATTATTTGTGAAATATTCTGTGCACACTGTAGCTGTAAACCAAGGAGAAAACATGTCACTCTTCTTTTTTCTTGTAGTATTTATGATTGATATAAAATAAAGCTCACATTAAGACTACATGAGCTTGTCTAGAGCAAGGTCTGAAAAACGGTCCTAGCCTCTAGTTTAAAATAAAAAAAAAACCTATGTGCTTTTTTTCTTGGTGTTTTCTCATTGTGTCAGGCACAGTCAGATCTGGATGCATTTTAGTTTAAAAAAAATTATCATTGCAGAGATGACATAAAGACAATCATTAAGACAATCATGAAAACTGACAGAAGTTTATGTTTGTCAGCAGGACTTTTCATTTGCCATACCATCTAATTCCCACTGATACAAGGAAGTCTTCCCTGATTACTGGAGAAGTCCAGAATATCCAAGGATATGGACAGACTGAGTTTGTAAAGATACCTGCTCCTCCGATGAAATACATGACTAAGGCTGATTTACACACAGTTTTGATTTCGCCGTGCTGGTGTATAACCAGATTTAGAACTGGAATACTACACAGTAATGCACGTACCTAAAAGCCTCATCTCCTTGGGTGCCCCTTGGAGTGGGAGTTTCTGTTTTAGGAGATTCACATCTACATCAGATGAAATCCTAGGCCTATATTAAAAAAATGTAAAAGGTTTCATCTGTGGAAATCAGAGATTTCACTCTGAATTAAAGTTCTCCACTGTCAGACTTCTTATCGAGTACAAACAGCAAATGATCTGTGAAAATCTGCTATGCAGAAACACAGGATCTGCTGTAGGTATGTGGATATGTGTAGCCAAACCACGGTGATTCCTGCACCAGGATCTCCTCTGTTGCACCCTGGGACTGGGCAGCATCACTCTTCTCCCCGGTGTGATCAGGACACACACTCTGGGTACTGTGCTCACCACAAACCCAGGAGTCACCAAAACCTCATGATCCAAAAAATGCTGCTGAAAACTAAAGTAAATAAAACGCCTCTGGGCAATAGTCATCTTCCCTTCAGAATTTTACAAGAAAGAGGGTTGTTATTACCGCAGTCGTGGTAATTTTTGCAAACATCCACTTGCCGCCTGATGTGCAGAGAGAACTGGGGCTGCGAAAGTAAGTTAAAGTATTTGTATTGTTTCTAAAACATTTCTAGTGCAATATTTCTAATGCGGGCAGATGCATTTGTGTTTTAATTTGACATTACAAAGACATAATTGGTCTAAAATCTTTTACCAAAACAACCGGCACGACACTAATTTTAGTCTTACATTCCATGTGAACGAAACGGCAGTGAAGGCAACCTGCCCACACAGGCAAGGAAAAGATGGAAAACGCCAGAGCAGAGCACATAGGCTGAAAAGAAACGGGTGGAAATCTCAGTTAAACTTTTCCGTTGTTCCTTGGGGGGGGAGGGGGGGGGGGAATATAGTGAATCTGAATTATTTTGCATCGGTTTTAAAAAGACCTTGCCCTCTACATAACTCTGGTAACAGGTAAGGAAAATCCTTTCTGTGGCGCAGGGAAATAGAAACTTGCCTTACGATGTGCGAGGGTAGCACCGGCGCTCACTGAGGAGCTCGCGGTGACCCTCGCCTGCTGCCCAGGGGTGCGGGACGCGGCGGCTGCTGCGTCCCCGTCCCACACCCCGCCGGGCGAACCCGGCTCCCCGCGATCCGGCAGGAGCTCGCAGTGCCCGGCCCGGGATGAACTTACCGTTCCCGCCCAGTGCTGAGGGGGACAGCCCGGCGCAGCCCGCTCCGTTCCTTCTCCTCTCCTCTCCCGTCCCGTCCCGTCGCGCCCCGTCCGGCCCCGCGGCGCCGCTTATAAGCCGTCGCGGCGGTGGATGCAGCGGGGCTGGGTCGCACCTGGCCGCCGGGCTCCCCCCGCCAGCCCGGGCGGCAGCGACCGCCCCTTCCCGGGCGGGTGGGTCATCAATCACGGAGCTGTCGGGGGGCGGCAGCGCCCCACTCTCCCCTCGCTCCCCGCCCTCCGCCGGCCCGGCCCCGGGTCCGTGCGGGTCCCACCGCCGCTCGCCCCGTCCGCGCTGTTTTTCTTAGGATAAAGTAACGGTTTTGCTGGAGGAGAGAAATTTAATCTCTGGGCTGGGAGCGCAGGCGATGATGCCCTGCTAAAAGCAAGTCCTTTCTCCCCGCTCCGCCGCCGCTTCTCCGGCTCGCTGAGGTTCCCGGGGCCGAGAGGGTTCCCCCGGGTGAGACGCGCGGAGGGAGCGGGGTCGTGGCTGCCCAGGCACCGCTCAGGGGCCCGACCCACACGCGTGGGTCCAACGCGGGATGGAAACACGAACGGGATGAGGCGAGCCCGGGCGGGAACGGGGAGCGAATAAAAATCAGTAACAGGGAACGGGGAGCGAATAAAAATCAGTAACGCTAATGAGAAGGGACAGTCAAAATAAATACCGGGATATAGAATTAGCTCAGAATAACATTTGGAACGAAGCCCGATTGTGCGATAACAGAGACACAATAAATCAAGCCTCGGGAGCAGTGGAAAAACAAAGTCTGAGCGATTCGTTACCGGGTTTGCAGCCAAGAAAATTAAGGACTTAAGCTTCAGCGATAATTGGAAGTCCCGGTAAGGGACAAGCCCGGTGAGGACCTGGCGGGGGCAGCCGCGCAGGGGGAGCCGGACACCTGCCCTCCGCCCCGGCCCCGGCCCCGCAGTGCCCGGACAGCGCCCGCCGCAGCCGCCGGGCCGTGCCAGCAAAACGCTCCAGCCCGACTGTTCCACCATCGCCGCCCTGAGGGGTACGAGCAGGGGCTGCCCGCGGGTGGGACCCCTGCCCTGCCCGGCGCCCACCGCCCCGCCCAGGCCCTGCCAGCCTTTGTGCTCTCGGGCTGGTACCCACAGCACCGCGGAGCCGCGTCCGGGCCGGCCGACGAGGGATGCTGTCGGCTTTTCTGAAGGTTCTGAATTTAAGTACTAAATTCTAAATTAAACGGAACTAAAACTGAAACTGTGTGTCAGCGTTTACCTTTGCCTGACGCTGGCGGCCTCGGGGGGGGTTCCCTTCATCCATCACGGGCTACTCTTTCAAAAGCTACTCTGTCGGTATGTACAAGACCACGATGATGGACTTCACCTGCACCACAAACCATTCTTTGGCCTCCCGGGGCCCAAAAGAGTGAAGGCTGGGGTTCCCTGGGTGACAGGGAGGCATCTCCAACCAGCTGTGCTGAGCCACGTTTTGGCCTCGAGGTTTCCAACACTGCCTCCAGCCCAAGTGAGAATTGCTGAATCCTCTCTGCAGCCAGACACCTCTATGCTCAGCCAGCCTCTGGGGCTCAGGCAAGCTTGGACATGTCCTTAAAATTATACTCAAACATCCTCACTGTGGTGTGATGTGGGAGAACTGACCCCAGATTCCCTGGGGAGCAGGGAGACTTGCCTTCCAGCCCCAGTTCCACTGGGGCTCCTCTGTCATTCTGTAAGCATCGAACATGCACTGACTGGGTCCAGCACACAAGTCTGGGGTACCCCAGACCCATCCCCCAGGGAGATGTCCTCAGTTTGCCTGCCCAAGTGCCTCCCCAAAGAGGTGTTCTCACTAGGCTATGGGACACTTAGCCGTGTCACTGACAGAGAACTTAACAGCAGGTGTCCCAACTGCCCAGGACTTCCCAGCCACCCTAAATTAGCAGATCTCTGGTGCTGTGCTCTTCTTCTCTGCTCTGATGTGATTGATGACACAATATTATGTACTTTTTTGGCTTTCCCACTGTACACACACTGTGTTCTGCCTCAGTGCAGGAAATCCAATGGAAAGAGCTGGAAGAAAAGTGGTGATGGAATTCCCATTACCGTCTTTTTGACAGCGCCAAAACCAGCCTGCTGCAGAGTGCACTTAGGGAAGTGGCATGGTGAGATTTGTGGTCAGAGTTCAGAGACACCACCCTGGCTGCTAACCCTGTTACCATAAAAGAGGTGCTTTAGATATATTTAAAAAAACCCCAAGGACATATAAAAGTAGAAATAGTTGTTCTTTGGTCCATGAAGATTTTCTCCCACCAGATGACTCCACCGTTATAACCACAAAGACATCTAGTGATTTTCTTCTATCAACACACTATTTAAGTCTAAAACTGTAACAAGCTGCTGCAGCTGTTTCTTCTTCTTTTTTCCCAAATGACTGAGAATTACTTTCCTGCCTTACCTTCAAAAGTACATTTCAAATCTGAGAAATGCCAGAGCCACAAAAGAGCCAGATTTTCAGCGTGATTTAGGTAAGAAAAATTTCTACCAGAGACAGAGTGATATTTTTCCAGGTACACTCTGCTCCCTTCATGTCAAATTATTCTCTGGTTTTATAGCTACAATTCAGCATGAACGTTTAGGGTATTTCTTTCCAATTTGTTCATTTTATCTCATTCCCATTACTGTATAAGGGTTTCTCAAGTGTATTTGCCTACTGGTTATCGGTGTCTGATGGACTAGTAGAAATGTCACTTGTCCAGATAAAACCATTCCTGCATGAAGCCACACATGGACTGTATCTGGTCAGGTCCCACAGATTCCAACTCTAGCCCAGGAGCAAATAAAAGGCAGGACACAGCCACAGAAGAATAAAAATATGTTGAAATTCAGAACTTCTGCTTCTTGGGGAAATCTCAATGTTTATAATGGGAATGCATTCCAAAGCCAAACAAGTACTTTGAACATTTCCAATTATATCCTTTTTCCTTTTGTCTCAAATACCATGCTGATATTTGAATTGTAGAATATGGTGTATTGTAGAACCATAGCATATTCTGCAGTTATGTTAAATACATTACATCACAGTGTAGCAATAAACCTTTTATTGTATTTTCTCAGTAATAATTACTTTCAAAATACATCTAAAATACATATCAGAAGGGCTCCATTCTAGTGTATGGGTGTGTACATAAGTGTTAGGGCATAGTATCAAGGGATTTTTTAAAAGATTTAGAGTTACTGAGATCCCACCATAATTCCATTTCAGACCCACACATATTTAAGGAAATACTTCTAAACTGTTCCCTTATACATGTTCAGTCTGGAAGGGTCTCTGTAAACTCAGCTGTTCTCACTCTAAGAAAAGAGAAAGGAAAACCAGGGTAAAGAGAACCCCAACAGGTCTGGCTCTCCATTTTCCCTTTGGTAGCGGCCATGTGAGAAGCACAGTATTGTAGCTGGTGTGAGTGAGCAGTGAGAGCTGAGCAGGCTTTCCTGGAGCTAGAGAAGTGTGAATATTTATTCATCAAATGACAGTGTGGATGATTTTACTTAAGGGCAATTGCAGACTTCAGATGCAGGGGTTTAGGACAGGCCAAAGTATAGGCCTGATGATACATGTATGCAGCTGGGATGTAGCCAAACTATTATGGAATATAAAAAGCGAGAGGGAGAGTAGATCCAGAGTGAAAACAAGACCCACTTTGCTGTTTCATCAGAGGAAGATTTTGGTAGGGGTCTGCTTTAGCTGGATGTGAGTTGCTTGGCTGTGGGATTCTCTGTGTGAAACCCCATGGCCTTTGTTGGATTGGAAGTAATTAATGCAAGTCTTCAATGTTTTATTTAACATACAAGAAAGTAAAATCTTTAATCCAGAAATACTCAGAACCTATGGGAAATAAGCCATGCTTTTTAGATGGCTTACACAGCATAACCCACATTAAGAAATACTAATGATCCATTAAACAGTTTTAAATGGGTGTGTGTAAGGCAGAGGGAAGTGTAAGATGGAAAGATAACTCCACGCCATAGAGATCAGGAGGCAACTTCCCAATGTGCTGCACTGAGTCAGCAATCGAGCAGCTGCCACTTTGAACATGCTCACCGAAAGTATTGACATTCTTCTCTGGGAATTGCTTAAACAAGAATGAACTTTTTTTTGATGTATGCTTTTCTGTCTTTCTTGATCTGAATATCATTGATGACAACAGCTAAAACAAGAAGTATCATTCTCGGTTAGTATTAATTTCAGGACTAACAATGACAGCTACACATAAGAGCTTTATTTAGTGTTTTGAATTTTCTGTTTCTGAAGGCAAATGGCTCACTAGCTTTATGTGCTGGTTTTGGCTGAGGTAGAGTTCATTTTCTTCACAGGGGCTGGTATGGGTTGCATGGGGGTTGCACTGGGGGGTGCATGGGAGGTTGGGGCAGGTGACTCCATCTGACCAAAGGCACATTCCATACCATATGACATCATGCTCAGTATATGAAGTGGGGGAGGATGTTTAGATGTTTGGCATTTGTCTTCCCAGGTAACCATAGCATGTGACGGGACCCTGCTTTCCTGGGGATGGCTGAACACCTGACTGCCCCTGGGAAATGGTGATTGAATTCCTTGTTTTGCTTTGCTTGCATGTGTGTCTTTTGCTTTCCCTATTTAACTGCCTCTATCTCAACCCACTAGTTTCCTAGCTTATACCCCTTCCAATTGTCTCCCTAATCCTACTGGTGTGGGAGTGAGAGAGTGGCTGTGTGGGGCTTAGTTGTTGGCTGGGGTTAAACCACAACAGTTTAACAGAAGCATGTGGCACCTCAGAGTTACAGTACCACTCACTTACTACCTCAGCTTTGGAAATCTGGTTCTTTACAATGAAGACGAAGATCTTGTTATTCAAGGGGGAAAATGCATGCAAAAGTTAAATTTATTTGACTCAATTCTATCAAATTATATTTATCTTTAGAACCAGTAACAAAATACACACAACATTGCATGCAAAAAGATAGATCCTGATTTTCTTATTCAGGAAAAAATCCTTTCTTATTTCAGAGAGGATCTTAAGTGTAAGATGCTCAGCTGACATTCATACAGAGAAAGTGCATTAGGAAAGGTTTCTTTTCCAGGGGCAATTTGTAAACTGGGTTTTCCTTTCCTTACCTGTAGGTTTGGAGTTTTCCTATATCAGAAGTCTTGAGCATTCATTTAATTACTCAAACTAGTGCAAAGAAGCCAAACTCAAGTCTCAGTTACTTAAAACAGAATTTTAAGTTAAATTAATGTGTAATACTCCCAATCCAAAAATTAACCAGCACAGACATCATTAATCTTCTTGTGCCTTCTCTCCTAATTGTTCCACATTATTCACCAGAACTTGGAAAAATCCAAATGATGGAAATTATTTTTTAGGACTACAGATCTTCTCAAAAATCATGTGCTAATAGCTCCTTTCTGCTTGAAGGGAGAAACCAATGGTATAAGGTTCAATGAGACCAACCACTGGGTCCCACACTTGGGTCAGAACCACCCCAGGCAGCACTACAGGCTGGGGACAGAGTGGCTGGAAAGCTGCCCAGCAGAAAAGGACCTGGGGATGCTGTTTGACAGCTGGCTGAACATGAGCCAGCAGCGTGCCCAGGTGGCCAAGAAGGCCAATGGCATCCTGGCTTGTATCAGCAATAGTGAGGCCAGCAGGACCAGGGCAGTGATCGTCCCCCTATACTCAGCACTGGTGAGGCTGCTCCTCGAATCCTGTGTCCAGTTCTGGACCCCTGACTTCAAGAACACTGAGGTGCTGGAGTGTGTCCAGAGAAGGACAACGGAGTAGGTGAAGGGTCTGGAGCACTAGTCTTAGAAGGATTGGCTGAGGGAATTGGGTTCTTTAGTCTGGAGCAAAGGAGGCTCAGGGGGCATCTTATCACCTTCCACAACCATCTGAAAGGAGGTTGTAGACAGGTGGGAGTTGATCTTTTCTCTCAAATAACAAGTGATAGGACAAGAGCAAACAGCCTCAAGTTGCACCAGGGGAGGTTTGGATTTGGTGTTAGGAAAAATTTCTTTACTGAGAGGGTGGTCAAGCATTGGAATAGGCTGCCCAGGGAAGTGGTGGAATTACCATCCGTGGAAGTGTCAAAAACATCTGCAGATGTGGTGCTTGGGGACATGGTTTAGTGGTGAACACAGCAGTGTTAGGTTAAAGGTTGTACTTGATCTTAGAGGTCTTTTCCAACCTTAATGATTCTATGACTCTACTATGCACGTGTCTCTGTGCAGTGTCTGAGTATCATATGTGGAAAGAAGCAGCTACTAGGTAAGACACTGGCTAAAACCAGCTCATTTCTTGAGGAAGTTTAAGAACTAGGCAATCAGTTTAACCTTGCACTTGCAGATGCTTTACATGCTTTTGATACAAAGTATTGCTTCTGAATAAATAACTAGTTCCCTTATTTTTCTGAATGTTCTTAGAAGGCAGTGTGAAGTTAAACATACTTAATTATGTCTGATTTTGAGATTAATAAGACACAGATAACATATCCATAGAGAAACTACTATCTTTCTTTGGAAACTTTGAGGGGAAAAAAAATCCAGTAATGGCCAAATCTTCACATCCTTCATAACTTTTGGCTTTTAGAATTCAGCTTCCTTCTGCCTTCACTTTCGATGCCTCCTCAACCTATATCAGAAAGATCAGAGAAGGCAGATGAGATCTTCATATCAGAACCACACAAAAGCCCCCATTGCTCCTGTTGTCATTGATGCTTCCTGAGACCACTCAACATTTCTACAAAATTTGTAAGCAGTGTTATGAAAAGCTGCTGCTGAAAAAAAAAGGCCTTTACCTATTGCAAGGTTATTGGCTGATGCAGTGAAAACCCTTTGTTGTTTTTTTTTTTTTCCAGTGTCAAACCTGGGGCCAAGCCATTCTGAATTGATATAATCTGACCATCTGGGGTATTGTACATTCCTTTATTACAAAATTGACTGACTTTTTCCACAGACAAAAATGGTGATAGTTAACTTTTTTTTCCACATAAATTTGTATCAAATACTTAATGATAATTTTCAAGTTCCATAAGAAACAAAATCGTAGTATTAATCAAAGTAATTTCTCATATAAATGAAACCAGATAGGACTCGGTCTTTTATTCCAAAACATTTTTTTACAAACTAAGTGTAACTGATTATACCCAACTTTACTGGACATGTAATTAGTGATTACTGTGGCAGTCTAATACATTAACTCTTCAAGAAAGGCAGAGCTTATTGCTTCAAATCTCTTTCTGAGTTAAAGTATTAGCCTATTACATGGCTCATTTCATGACTGGTTTGGATTTACCTTGTTTTGATGCAGCACTTAATTCTGCTCAGAATTAAGAGAATAGAAAGATGTTGTCAGTCATTTCTGGCTATATTTTTCCCCTTTGTGCCCCTATCTCAGAACTTTTGAATTGTGTGGCTTTTATAGATTTATAAAAAGCTATATACACAGGCAGTCCTGTGTACTGCTTTATACCTGCATATATAAAGAAATAATACCACAATAAATTAACTTACACCTTGCACTGTGTTTAATGTGATAATTAAGAAAAA